ACACACAGCATTTTCTTCATATCTCTTTTTTACATTTTTCATTTTTATTTATTGGTTGTTATAAATGCTGATAGTGATATATTAAAACCTAGCAAAAATCAACAGATATATCATACAGGCTCTGACCTGAACTGCATATTAGTTTAACTGCTGCTGTGGTCATGTTAAGAGCAGAATGTAATATACCTAACAAGATGTTCTACATACAGCTGCTTGTTATTTTAAAAGTCTGATCTCTGTTCTGTTTATTGTTACAACATTCTAATCCATAGTTTTCATGTGACGTCAGAGCAGGTACTTGTCCACCTGGCAGGCAAAATGGTCCTGTGCGGTCCCTTGACCTCTTCTGTGGGACTTTGGGCTGTCGGATGCATTAAGCAACATTTGTTTATAGCTGCCAGAATGGTGTAGAGTATGGCACCGACAGGTCAAATTGCACCAATCCCTGCTTCTCCACAGCAACCCAGACTGTCAGTGGTGGCTCATGTAAACTGTAGCAATGATTTACCTGACGTTGGAAAAACACTCAGTCAGCTTTACTGTTATGACACGACATTAATGTGACAAATGAATCCTGGTGTAACTTTTCTGGCCCTACACTGTAAAAGTTCAACTCAACAAAATGTAAGATTTGTGTGTTGTAGTTGTTTGTTTGTTTGTTTTTGGAGGGGGGGGGTGTTTTGAGCTAGCTATGTAGCGCTTACCTTTGTGTTAATTCTGAAAAATTTCTTATTCTTCACCTCTCACATGACAGAATTATTTACCCATCCAGATTGAAAATACATGTAGATGTACACACTTTGAAAGCTTTTACCCCGGTGGTAGATTCTTTACACGTAGATGTCAACAAACTGGATCTGTGTGAGAGATGTCGCCACTTTTATGGACTTGAATAAAGCTGCCAGAACAGAATATGAGTGACAAGTCCCTAAAATGTACATAAGTAGTCTTGGCTTGAGATTCAAGAGAGTCAATAAACCTCTTGCCCCGCAGTACTGCTAACTGTCCACTATTGGCCGTTACAATGGAGTCATGCTTGCCCACCAGAGTAGTGAATTGGTCATTCAATTGAAAACTATTTATAGAATAAAATGAAGTGATGCTATTTTAAATCCAAGTCAGTTTCACTGGAACATCATATTGTTATCCATTATGATGTTATACATTACAATTTTTAAATGTATAAGAGAAAGGTGACATGGTGACCTTAGGTCACATAGTAAGATGATAGGTATGTGGATATTTTTGCTACATCAATTTCAAGTATTTATAGCTTCTTTTCTGGAAAATTCATATTTGAAGCTTTGTCGTGTGTCATGGCTTCAACTTCGTGTTTTGTCAGAATCAGTTTTATTGATCAAATGTTTGTGTGCTGAAAGATCTCGATTCAGTTCCTTTTGAACTCTTAATTGAAGGTAGATTTAAATTCTGATCAGATGTCAGTGTAATTTGTAACTTCACTGATTGGCAAAGCATGTAAATGCAAGGTGGCAATTCAGTTTATTTTTTAAGTTCCAGACCTCCAACTTTGGAGCGGTTAGCGTTAATAAATACTACGTTTAGGTTTCTTTCTAACTGTTGATCTGGGGTTTGTTTCTTAGATCTATAAACTTTCTAATTGCAGTTACCATAAAGTTTTGTTCTTGGTGGTTATAAGGTGATGAAGCACTTTTTTTTTTCTTGTAAAGAGACCACACATGTCCTCTAATGTGTTCTTTGCCCTCTCCTGACAGGTTATGTTATTCCCAGTCATGTGACAGAGGAGATGTTGTGGGAATGTAAACAACTAGGAGCTCATTCTCCCTCGACACTGCTAACAACTTTAATGTTCTTCAATACCAAGTGAGTACCAAGTTAGGTGCTCTCAAGTGTAATGCTTACTGGAATAACTTTATGTGGTTGTCTCATGCTTAAGTGGGCATGATAAACCCCTCTAAATAAGAGATACTCTTCATCTACAGCACAAATAACTCTTAACATACAGAGCTACAAAATACTAAACGAGATTCTGCACCCTCCTGTACTGGCTTCATGGTTGCTTGCAATTCCTTTTTTTTTCTGTTTCTACAGGTATTTCCACCTGAAAACAGTGGATCAGCATCTAAAAGTCGCCTTTTCAAAGGTGCTCAGGCACACCCGGAAGAGTCCCAACAATCCTAAAGATAAGAGCACCAGCATTAGATACCTAAAGTCGACAGAAAGGTTCATAGGGCAGAAAGGTAAGAGCATGCTGGGATTGCATTTGTGCTGCATTTCACATTCTCATTCTAAGGACAAACTAATGGAGACTGTATGAACACTTTTTTTCTTTTCAGTGACAGATGATATGTACTCAGAGCAGCTTGAGGACCCTGAGAACCCACTGCGGTGCCCCATCAAACTCTATGATTTCTACCTCTTCAAATGGTAAATACAAAACACTATGAAGGACACTAAGGGGAATCGGTGAATGAGATATTAAGAAGTGTAAAATGTTATCTCAAAGAGATAATCTATGCAACCAGTAAAAAGTAAATAAATTTTAAAGAATGTGGTGCTTTTCATGCTTTTTCACTCTGGCCGTGGTTGGTGGTTGCCTCCTTTAAATAAAACTGCATTTCTGTTAATCATATGGGAAGCGGAGTATATAGAGCAGTTTGTGCTGAAGTGCTTAAAGGTGTGAGAACACTGTTGCTAGGCAACTGACAAAAATATATATGCTATAGAACTTTTCCCTTGCTCTTCTCTCCAAAAGGTTTTTTGTTTCCTACTTTTGAGCATTACCAGTGATAAAAGCTACAAACGTTTGGCTTTCGTTGGCATTACATTGTAGTGGCACTACATTGTTAACAAATGTTATGTTATTAATATCACATTAATATGTGACTTTGGTGCCTTTTTATTTGAGGAAATTGTGAAAATCCTTGGATTTAAGGGGCTGTATTGATATTGTCTTTTTTGCATTTATGGACTTTCAAAATTTGCAGTTGTGTGATCCCAGACTGTGCTCTGTAATCAGTATGTGTACTGTAATTCACAAGATTAATGCTTGGATTTCAAACTGACCCCACACCGAGCAAAAATGCCAGGAGATTTTTTTTGTTTTTAATGTACATTTGCCAGAGGTGACTGGGTATGACTGTTGTGCTAGACTTCTTAACTACTCTGGGCTTTTAATCGTTATTAGTACAGCCAACCAACGACAACAAAACGTATTTTTCTTTCTGTACTTCACATATTAATGAGAATTGTGATCAGATCATGAGCCAGATGAGCTACTGACGTTCTGGTTCCTCTTAAGGTTCACCAGAGAAGCGAGAGTACACCTGTGCCTCTCCACTGTTCTGATTGTGACACAGTGTGTTACACTTGGTTAATTTAGCGCTTTTACCCAATAAGCATTTGATATATTACTAAATTTAAGATTGTGGACATTGTTGTGTACTGTTTTGAGCATATAAGGTACTCTGGACAAGTTGAATCTTACCTGCTGTCCTTTTAAAAGGTAACAATCTGTCGTGAAAGCAATCCTCACCACTAAACCTTTTGCCTCTGTTCCCACACAGAAAAGAATCGTATGCAGCTTTTTTGTAAGGGGGGGAATAAAACTAAACTTTGATTTGTTATATGAAGCGTTTCCTGAAAACATCCTCACCATGTCCTCTTTGTCTCTTTCAGTCCACAGAGTGCTAAAGGTCGCAATGACACCTTCTACCTGACACCTGAGCCCGTGGTGGCTCCAAATAGCCCCATCTGGTACTCAACTCAGCCAATCCCAAAAGAACAGCTGGAGCAGATGCTCGCCCGCATCCTTGTTGTTCGTGAAATCCAGGAAGCCATTAACATGTCCGAGAACGTGCACTAGTTGGACTGAAGGAGAATGAAAAACGAACTCAGCTCTTCTTTCTTCACCAAGCCTTTGATTGCTCATTATGAGTAGTTTTCTATACTCTCACACCCTCCTGTGGTCTTTAAGGGTGGCATGTATTGTATATGTTTATTTTCATTATGTGTCAGCATATCTCACACATACGGACTGTAAATACACGTACAACCAATAGATTGTTTGTCTTACTGAGGCAATCACTTTTTTTTTGTTTTGGCCAAAGGATTTAGTATCTAATCTTTTTATTGGACCTAATTTAAGTGTTATTTTTAACTGTTGGTTCTCTTTACCAACAGTCTGGAACAGCTTAATAATAATTTTCTTTCCTGTTTTGTTTTAACCTGTAATATATTTCATATATATTTTCACTGGGGTTGGCCTGCGCTATGCTGCTTTTCTTAGACATCTCTTTTTTGTTGCTTTAGTTTTCCTCTTTTGCCTTGGTCACTGTTAAGTGTCACAGTGAATACCTCAGTGGTATTAAAACTGCATTAAGTAGCCAAATGTAGGCTAAGAGCTCATTTTCAAGCTGTGGGAGTTCTTTGTGTTTTACTCTTGCCTGTCTGGAACTGAGTTTTAATGCACACACTCTGAATTGGGAGGTGACTTACATTGTTTGCTTAAACCGCAGCACCACCTGTCGGACTCGCTCAGCAGCATCAAATAGGAGGACTTTAATCTGCTCCGGTTTTGATTGCAACAATGCGTCACTGCTCGGCTCGCATTTGCTACACGTTGGAGGTGCGGCTTTGGATGCTGACTGCTGCTGGACCTTCTTTTCTCCCCAAAATTCACCTGATGAGGCATCAGTTGTATTATACATGTCTGTTACAGGAGAGGTGAAAGACTCTAAAAAAGTGGGTTAGCCCTTAATGTTCTATAATGTACAAAACTCATGCCTCCTTCATGTACTGTAATAGGTTCATCTAAGGAGAATGGCAGTGCCTGTGTGTTTTTTGAAACATGACCTTTTTTGTACAGCCACTATACCATGTGTCTGCCTTTCTAGCCAGTCCAGTATGAAGTCTGCACATGCGTCTTTAAGTACCGATAGCCGGCATTGTGTGATTATAAGATGATGCACAATGATTTTTCAGGAAAAACAAAGATCTGAATAAAAGTCATCTTACAGTGGCACTTTATCAGTAGTCACAATAAAAATAAAAACTTTAAAAATGAGATAGAAAGACATGCTGTGCTAACATTAAATATTTTGTCAGTAACATGAAGTATGTGCCAGTATATACAGGTACCAGCCTCAATATTTTTTTTGCCAGGATAGGTAGGGTAACAGGTTTGACCTGATTTCTTCTTCCTTGAATTCATTCTCTTCTAATGACGATACAAGCTGCTCTTTCTTTTATCTGCATGTTGTCAGGCCAGTTTTCTGCCTGCAGGGCCCGACCGCAAGCAGTATACAGGTCCTTCTGTCTGAGCTAATGTATGATGGCAAAAATTTTTATGTAGTCTTTCTTTACATATTTACATCTTCCAGCATGTCTGTTCAGTGTGTGGCTGGATTCAGCAGTGAAGAGGAAGGAAGTAATCGCCTCAGTAGGTTGCCCGGGTTTAAAATCTGCTGTATTGTGTTCTGTGGTGGGTCAGCTGCAGGTTTCTGTCGGGGTTGGTGACGGTGGCTCCTCCCCGATCGCGCTCTCCGTGCTGATGAGCTCTTAGGCCGATCAGGGATGCCGTTGTTGGCATTTAAACTGGTTGTCTGGATCTGTGAGCTCCTATAAACAGCAAGTTCCCAGTTAGAAGTCGCAATACAATACAGAGACAAATGATACGCTTCCACCATGCTCACCATGCTGAGGTTCCTCCACTTAGCCAGTGTAACAGACACTGATGAACAAACACGTACTGCTCCTGAATAGACACAGGACAATGGGAAAATGATGTGGATGCTCATCCTTATGTTTGGTATGACTCAAAAGTGCGCAAAATGTGCAGATTAGTAATAAATACAAGTATGTATTTTAATACTTGCAATGCCTCATTACATATCAAGATTAATTTAATATTAATAATCTATGACATTAGATTTCTTACGTTTGATGACGTTGTACGGGTGAGCAGACGTGGGGCATACAGAAAGTACTTCGTTTAGCTGCAGTTTGGCTGTACTTGTACTTAGGTATTTCCATTTTACTTGTACTTTATATTTTAACCACATTGTAATACAAAGCCAGACATCAATCAATTTAATCTGGCGTAGCTTTCATTTTCAGGTCAAGATCTAAAAGACGGAATATCTGATCAGTTTATAAAATATGAAAAGGAGGACTGACCAGAGTCTGGACCATCCCCATTCGATGCAGACGAAGGTCCTGCACAGCAGCCTTGATATCAGGCCGGATACCCCTTGCACACAGTTGTTGCAGCCAGAGCAGTGTTACAAATGTTCCTGTCCGGCCAATACCTGCACTGAAACCACAAAAACAATTCACCATTCGACTGATAATTCATTATAAACGACAGGAACAATACTGACAAAGACATTGTTTTTCTGACAAGGCGATGGGATTAAAGTTAGAGGTCACACCTGCAGTGCACCACAGCCGGTCCCAGACGAGGAATGGTTTCCAAATGCTGCCGCACATGCTCAGTGAAGACGCAGAGAGTGGATGGGCTCTTAGGGACTCCCCTGTCAGGCCAGGAGGGGTAGTAATAGTGTGTGATTATCCTGTCTGTTGGACAGTCTCTCTGAAACACAAACACCATAAGTGTTTATCTCTTTGATGGATTACAGGTATGGTCAATGCACACAGGAGTACGCTGCGGCAGGTTAAAGAGGGCACAGAGCATAATGCATGCGTCTTTCACTTACATGCCGGAGGTTAATGGTGGTGATAAAATAATCTGGCCCTTTTTTGCGAGTCACTGTTGTGACTTGGATGAGTCCATGGTAAACTGTCCCTGGGTCCAGTGGCCAGTACTTGTCACAGAAAACCTGCACACAAAGAATGAATTGATAAGTTTAGAGCAAATGTCCTCTTTATCTATGTAAGTGAATGTGAATCCTCTAGAATAACCAGGTTACCTGCATTAATTGATCAACTCCAACCATCAGTCTAATTATATTATAGACTAGACGTCATATTATCTGCCACTAATGCCATTAATCCTGTGGTCCACATACTTTTCCATTTACTGAATATTTAATGTACTTTTAGCTAAAACTGTGCACAGATTTATATGTAAGTTTGGGTCATTCTTCTTTGCAACATGGGTAAAAGTCTGAGCACATTTAAAAAATTATATAGATAAACAATGGATTTAATTTTTAAGTTATACATGGTTTATTTTCACTTTGTTTTAATTAAATAATTTTGCATACAACACTGAATGTCATAAATAAATAAATTTCCTACATATTAATTTATCTTTTTAGTCTTTATATACCATTTATTTATTCATTCAAGAAATAAATAAATAAATAAATGGTTTATTTGTTTGTTTTTGCTTTTGAAGTTCTAATGTAACAATAAAAGAAGCTTCACACACACACACACACACAAACACACAAAATGAGTAAGCGTCTCTCACGATGTCCTTGTGTTTCAGAGCTGTCACCATGACAACAATCCTGACGTTTTGCTCCCACACCATCCTCCAGAAGTCAGCTATGGTGTTGGGCAAAGGACCCTGGGTGCAAATGAAGTCTCTTTCTGAGCCTCCACCCTGAATGCAAGCACACATTTAACAACAGGTGCAGACAGATGTAGGTAGGAAGAAGTGATTGAAGTTGAGGGAGTAAATGAGATCTTACAGGCACAAAGTTTGCATTGATGTAGTCGGTGTGTGGATAGGAGTTTTGAACAGAGAGCCTGACCCGACAGTGATCATCTACAACCAGATGTGGAAAAACAGACAAAAGTTTGAAATGTTGCTACGCATACTTGTTATTCTTTGTATTATAAGAGGCATTGCACTTACACGGTAAAATGAATGGGTATCTGTTCTTTTCCCTGTTGGCCTCAGAGTCCCCGGCCCTGGTGGGGAGATCTTTTCCAACTTCATTGAGCTCCTGCATGGACCCACAGACATTAACATTGCATGAAAGCACAATCATAAATCTGTTTGCATTTCAAGCTTTAGACTTAAGAGTTACCTCAAACTCCTGTTTAAAGCCTCTGTAGCTATTAGCAGCCAATGCCTGGCACTGCAAATTAAACTCCTGCAAAATTTGCGCTCTTGGGAAAGTTTGCACCCTGTAAAAAGACAACTGAATTTTTTAAAAAGGAAAAACTAAAAATAAGTTATCACTGTGTAACTAACAGTTAACCTTTCTTTTTTTGTCATTGCCCTATATTCATGATAGAACAGCTGGCCAGCTGTTGTAAACATTAACATGTGAGGAAAATGCTCCCAGTAAACATACTTTACTTTACTTAAATTCACAACTTACACATTCTTTAAAATGTCACAGACAGAAGTGGAATGTAGTGTTTTTCTTTTTTGTCTTGTATTGGATTAGAAAAATGTACAACATCATCAAGTATAGTCTCTCAGCTGATGTTTTCATGATCCTATAAGCACTCTTTATATCCTTACCTCATGTCTTTTCAGGAAATCCCGCACTTTAAAAAAAAAAGTTGAGCGTCAATATCACTAAGACGACTCTAGTTTTGATCCTGTAAAAGAAAGAAAAACAAACAAGATAAATTAAGAACAGAATGTTAAAAACTAAAAACTGAAAGCGGTCAACACTGTGTTTACCTTTTGTTTCCCCCTCTTCTCCCACCTCATCCACTAAAACTAATTGTACCTTTGCAAGATAGACAGCTGACACCAGGAAACAGTTCTGGTTTTTCAGAAATTATTAATTTTGTACAAAAAGCCTCTCTTCCTATTGCCACAAGACAAAAGGCCGTGCTGGCGTGTCGAGCACAGCCCAGCATTCTCCCTGAACAATTAGTATTACTCACCTGACAAGAAGAAAAACCTGCTCCAACAAGTTGTCAAGCCCAAACACCCAACAGCAGAAGCACAAAACACAGTACCAGAAGCTTTAGTGTCTTGCTTTTTTTTTCAGGCTTACCTTTGTAAATGGGCCTCAGATAAATGTTTTAAGTCTGCCACGGTCCGCTGAAGAAAAAGAGTAAAATACTACAATTCTCCAAGGCATCTTAAAGGTGTCTGCTTTTAATTATGTTCCCTCTGTCCGTCTCTGTCCCTCTTTCTCTTCAGACAGGAAGAAGTGGGATGGGTGGGGACAGTGGGTGGAGAGAGGAACACTAAATTTCAGAGGAAGGATGTCAGTACCACAGCGATTCTTTGAATACATCATAAAATTCCTTGTACCTGAGAGACAAAATGTTCTCACTTCTAGTGAACCTCTAAATGTAATCTTCTTAGTACAAATCTACAGGCAGATAGATAGGTAGGTAGTGAGGTAGGTAGGTAGGGAGGTAAGTAGGTAGGTAGGTAGATAGGGAGTTTCCAGTGCAATCTTGACATATGACGTGTAAAATTTAGTTGGCTAACTTTTAGAATGTCAGCAATAATCTCAATCAGATTTTACCTGACACTAACATTTCAGTTTATCACTATTTCTGGGATATCTTGGGTGGCTTATTTCAAACATTCTACTTGTGTTCGGTAGTTCAAATGCTTGTCCCATTACCCAGTCTGTGCTAAGCTTAAGGTCATGAACTGCTATGCTGATTTTGAGTACTTTGTTCACTCTCTGAATGCAAAGGGCTCTGAGGTAGCAAAACAGCCTCAAACTATGATATTCCCTCAGTCATGCTTCACTGCTGGGAGAAGGGTTAGGTGCTGATCTGTGAACATGTCTCTGTTTTATTCCAAACACAGTGCTGTGCATATGCCCCAAAATTTTTGTGTCATCGTTCTGTCCACACTTTCCCAGAAGGGTTGCAGATCATCCAGATGGTCTTTTGCTAAATTGGGTGCTTTCCTTTATTTGTGTTTTTTATGGTGACCACTAAACAAAGAGTTCAGCAGTTTGCTCAGATGGGCTCGTGACTTGTTGAGGGTGTATACTGCCTCCAGCATAGGCTCTACCTGCACTGCAAGGATTTTTTTTTTCTTAGTGTGATCTTTGCAGAATATCCACACAAAGGTAGAGCAGCAACATTCCCGAAGTTCCTTCATTTGTAGCCAGTTTATCTTTTGCAGCCTTTTTTTTTTTTTTTTTTTAGCTTTGTGCATGTAGAACTGCACAAAGTTGGAAAAAAGCTGCAGCTTTTACTTATACTTCTTCATTCCACACATCAAATGTAATTTTCATTACTTTGAAAAAGTTGTCAGTACAGATGTTAACAGCCCCTAAAAACAGTGAGGCAGGAAATGGTTACTGTTACTGACTTTTTTTCCCCATTACAACTATTTGTGTGTGTGTCACACCACACCTTATCATTTATCGGTTTGTAAATCCTGATAATCTAAAGGGTTCAGAGTCGTTCACATGCAGATAATACATGGACTGCGCCTGCGTGGTTTCAAGAGAAACGCCCGATTTTCTTTCTCTTTTTTTCTTCTTTTTTTGATAAGCCTGTGCGACCGTAGGCTCAACCTGATTGGGCCATTTTACAAAAAGGAAGTGAAAACATGTTGCGCTTTTTCGAGCACGATGAACTATAGGCACGCAGGATATTTGTGGACAATATGAAATAAGTAACTGCACGCTAAACCCTTTTTACCAGCTGCAGGCAGCTCTTACAGCGTGCGAGAGCTGGAAATGCAAAAGGTTCACTTTACAGATGGACACTCGAGATTCATTTGAGAGCTCAGACGCCGCTTCCTGGTTTGTTGGACGCAAAGAGAAATAAAAGTCCGCGTGTCATTCATAAAGATAAGCCAGACTCTGCAGAGGGGCAGAAATGGATCAAGCACGACCCCAAACCACACAGGAAAGCAAGGTAAAAGAAACAAACGTGCAAAATCCCCTCGGAATTATGAGTTACAAACTGTAAGCTGTCAAAATGCACTTCTTGTGCGCATGCTTCGACTGACCTTTCCTTTTTTTTTAAAAATTTCCAATCATTTACAATAAGAATAAAGGAATCAAAATGTCAGGAAATGACACAAGCAGTACTGCTGATAAAACTCCAAATATAACAGGAAGGAAGACTCGTTTGTAAGCACAGGGAGCACTACTGGGCAGAATGCTTTATCTATTTAAAATCTTGTTTATTTTCCGGAAAGTCAGTGATACAAATAAGCGTCAATATTTTATTTCACCTACAGGAGTCTTTTCCCCCCTTAAATGTGTGAAATGTTATGCTTTTGATTGAATGTGGTATGTCCTGATCCCAGAACTCCAAAAACGAAATCGAAAGTGTTCCGGATAGATGACACTGTGTTTAAAGCTCCGCGTAGAGATACTTAATCCATTACTATTACTTCTTCTTAGGGCTTGGCGTAAGTACGTTTGTTACTAATAATAATAATTATCATTATTATAATCAACTTGTTTGTCCACTTAGAAAATTTAGTCACGTCAATCTCATTTTAGTATATAGATTTAATTTTAGTTAAAATGCTGCAAATATAAGAAGCTTAAATGTCAAATATTTAGGAATTTATTATTTCCCAGACTGATTCATCTCTTATAAAATCATGTCTTACTTTTATGTAACACCCTTATAACTGTGATTAACCGTGATGCTGTCTTCAGGGGTCAGTGTCACAGCGGTACAAGGAACACAGTGATGACTCCACTGACAAGAGGGCTACCGACAACACTGTGTCTCCGGCTAAGGTACATCGTGTTTAATAACAAAAACCAAAAAGCTTTATAGATTATTCTTGTAAAACACCAGATTGTGATGACTTGGGTAACCCCTGTCAATTCAGGATGAGAAGAGGGCGATCAGAAGAGTGCGAAGTCCATCCAGACCGAGGGCATGGTTGTCCGCTTCTTACAAACCAAAGTTTGCAGGACGGTTCCACAAGCCTCGGTAAGAATGCCTAGGTGGGAACTGGGAGTACTGATACCTAGCCTGAGAATCATTTTGTCTGCTCTGACATCTTTTTTTTAACTCCCTAAATGATGCAGTTTTACAAGGGATGACCATGCATTCCACAAAGCCGGCTTTGGCACCCAGCGGCACCACCACATGAGCCACTGGGCTTACGTCCACCGGAGAGATCACTTCCATTCTAAACTTCACCACATTCCACTGAAGGAAAGGGTCAGGCTGAAGGAGTGGGAGAAGGAGAAGTACAAGCGGAGAGAGAGCACTGAAGGAAGCTCATCTCCAAAGCAAGACAACAGTAAGTTCTACAGAAGAGGTCTGCGATAATACAGACGGTTATAGCACACAAACACACTCCCTTTGCTTTATTTAAACATTTACACAGACATAAAGTCAGGACTTGTGCAAGGTTTTTATTACATGTGAAGTTCATAAAAAATATACGTGAGGCCCATAAAGACATATCTTAAAGACTTTGGTGTGGAACAAATTCGACTGTTATTAATAATTCAGCTTCCAATATTCTTCTTGCTTGATTTCCATATGATGGAAATCTTAAACAAAAGCATTTTTTTTTTTACATCTTTAAACTTTAAACTTTAGTTTGTGACTATCAGAAGGTGCGCATTAAATAACACCGATGTTAAAATACAGTGCAAGCTATGAAAGTCTTAAGTCATTACTATTTAATGTCCAAACAATCATGTTTGAAATATTGTAAACCACATGGTGTTAAGCTGTATGGATTTATTTGGAGATACTGTGGCTAATTGGGACAAAATTCTTGTAGTCGAGTGGAAAATCGCAGACGAGGAATATGACGTTCAGCAATCAGATATCTTTAGATGTCAGCATTCTTTATGGCCATGCCATTTATTTTCAGCACCGTCGGTGGGAGAACAGGCTCATTTGTACTTGTAAATAGTGGTCAGGCACGTGGCAGAGCTAGAAAAACACCACAAACCACTCAATGAAACAAATAACCCTCTGACACAATGAAAAATCAAGCGCTGTAAACATGAAAAAGATGTCACTGTCATTGCCTTCACCTCCTGGATTTCTTATCATGTTCACACATAATCCACAGTGTACTGCACAAGCTGTACACGTCCCTCTTTGCACTATAAAATAACCACTGGGTGGCAGTATAGGCAAGCAGAGGCAGACGCACATATTCAGAAGCACTTTGCATTACAAATATTTGGAGGGCATTTGCTCATTGTGCATCTGCTGGTTGGTAGGTAGTCACACTCTGGTAGCAACAAACCAACGTTACATAATGCTGATAACTAAGGAACTTTTATTGGACTCAATAGATGGATTATGTCATATGGCCTGCTGACAGTGTAACTGTGTGATTTAGTTAGTCAGATAAAACAGATTAATTACTTACTTCATCGTTTTGTAACATAGGAAGTAAATGGCAGAGGTGTAAAATATGTTGTGGTCATGTTCTGCTCAGTTTGAACACTAACTGTGAAGTCCACGTTTCCTGTTTTGTTGTTAGTATAAAGCGGTATGCTTTGTTTCTGTTTAACGGGTGAGCTACTGTATGTTTTTATTTTGCACGCAGGCACTGTATCTGCACGCACACTGCAGCACTGTGGAGGTGTGTGTTTGTGTATGTGTGAGTACTGAACAGGTTTTTTTTTTTTTGTTTTGTTAGTGTGTGTGCGCGCCTGAGTGATGGTGCGATGATGGTGACTCATCGCTGATTTGTGTGTATATATGAGTGCGAGAGAGAGGAAAAAGAGAGGGAGCGACTAGCCAGCGGTATATAATGAGCCATGACAAAGCTATTGCTTCACATAGGGACGCTGCAGCCAAACAATGCAGTCCAAAATCACATAAATGTCAGCAGATTCTGCCAAAACTTTCTCTGATTCCAGATCCTGATACTTAGAACAAAAAAAAGCAACAAAACAAAGCAGAAGGAGGCATAAGAATAGCGTAAATGACGACTAAAAGATAGGGTACTCTGGGAATAGGAAAAAAAGGGGGCCCGATTTGGTATAAGATAGTGGACATACATTTTTTTCCCCCTTCTGTTATGTGTTGACCTCGTGTTTTCTCTGTTTTTCCAGCTACTAGACCTTTCTCTTCAAGGTCCTCCTCCAGCAGAGACAAGGACATGCAGTTCACCGTAAGTTCACCTGTAAGAATGGTGCTCTGCTTCCCAATTTTATTATGAAGTGTCAAAAAATACGCTAATATCGTTTCACCCATTCCTTGAAAATCACATCATTTTCTTCTATTATAAC